ATGTATGTATATAGATAGAGAGGAGTTTATTTCAAGGAAATGGCTCATAAGGTTGTGGAGGCTGTAAAGTCCCAAATCCATGGATGGATGAAGAGTCAGGCTGGAGGATTCTCCTTACTCATGTGGTTGCAGGGGTTGATGAACTCAAAACTGGCAGATCAGACGGCAGGCTGCTGGCTCACATCCCAAGAACTGGAAGTCAGAAGATGATGAGTAGGATGCAGGATCGAGAGAAGATGAGCTTTGCCAGAACATCTATACATATTGGATGCAGGCCACACCCCCAAGGAAACTCCCCTTTCAACTGATTGGCTGCTCATATCAGAACAGAAAATGGAGGATGATTACATAATATCTACCAAACCACTGAAAATCATGGCTTTGCCAAATTGACACATAACCTTAACCATCACACCTCCCAACTAGTAAATTCAAGAGGCAGGATTTGGACCCAGGTAGTCTAGCTCCAGAAACTGTACTCTGAATACCATGCCATGCTGCCTCTAAATCAGTATCCTGGTTTGTGATTCCCTTGGTACCAGTACTCACTTTATCTCACAACTAGAAGTTTCTTATTCAATTATATCCAACCATTTCCTTTGTCAGAGACAAGATTTTATAAGGAAATTGTCCTTCTGCTTGGTCTTCGTGCGTTCTGGAATAAGTACACACACAGCTGTTCAATGTTTAACATAAAACATTTGCTAGTCAAAATAATTCTGCAAATTCTTCTTAATATTGGCTGCATATTGGCCATGAGCATTCATGTGTTGATGACCATGGGCTAAACTGAAGTCCCTTTTGATGCTACTTTGTCTCTAATATGTGAACAGCCTTAAGTATTTTCAGTACAAAAGTTTTATACCTTCCCACACAACTGCTCGTCTGTCAAAAACCTCTGTACATCCAATCATGAAACTAGCAGGAAATAGATGGGACAATTAAGGAGAGTTTAATAAAGCCATTATTTACAAAGGAGTAAACAACGGGTTTGGTTTAACAAAAAACAAAAACAAACCCATTGCTGGTAAGCTGATTTCAACTCATAGCGACCCTATGTGGCAGAGTAGAACAGCCCTGTAAGGTTTTCAGGGAGTAGCTGGTGGATTCAAACTGCCAGCCTTTTGGTTAGCAGACAAGTTCTTAACTACTGTGCCATGAGGGCTCCATAAAGGAGTAGGCAGTGTTAATGTCTGTGCCTCAGTGTCCCCATCTTAAAACAGGAATAATAGGAGTATATAACTCATTAAGAGGAATAAGTTAATTCATGTAAAGCTTAATTAACTTGAAAGAGTGTCTGGTGATTAAGTGTTTATTTATTCATATTACCCTGAGAGAGACACAAGGTTTCTGGGACAAGGACAGATGATTATTACATAACAATAATCTTACTAATTTTGCTTTCCTCTAATTCTTCCGCCTCCTAGGATGGTGCAATGAGAGCCAGATGTACAGGCCTACGTGTAGGGGGGTTGTACTATAGGACAGAAACCCTGAAAATATGAATCTTAAAGCTTATGTAGGAGAGGCATGTCTGTCCCCTCTTCTGAGAAAGGAAGAGATACTTTTGCTCCCTAGTGTAAAGAAATTCTCCTTGGGAAGAGGGGCAAGGATCCTGGGTTCTTATCCTTTGGAATGTGTGTAAAAGTTTCCACTGGGAAGATAAGACAATGCCTTCAGGTTTACAACTCCTGGAATGTCTCTATGGCCTTGCATCTCATCTCTCTCCTAGGAGAATAAACACATACCTCCAGGTGTAAATTTCTTACTATCTGTTCAATCATCTTTCGGGTTTCAAAGCTTGTCCTTTAAACTGTTGTTGTTATTGCTGGGTGCATAGAATCTATTCTGACTCATAGTGACCCCATGAGATAGAGTAGAACTGTCCCACAGGGTTTTCTTGGCTGTAATCTTTACTGAGAAGCCTGCTGGTGCAGTGGTTGAGAGCTCGACTGCTAACCAAAAGGTTGGCAGTTGTATCCACTAGCCACCACTTGCAGACCCTGTGGGGCAGTTCTGCTCTGTCCTGTAGGGTTGCTATCAGTCAGAATCGACTTGATGGCAACGGGTTTTTTTTTTTAAATCTTTACAGAAGTAGACCGCCAAACTGTTGGGTGGGTTTGAACTGTCAGCCTTCACAATTAGCAGCCAAGAACTGAAACACTTGTGCTACCAGGGCTTCTTGTCTTTCAACTAGGACCTAGTAAAATTTGCCCAGAAAGTTCTAACTGCAGAAACATAAAAAATATTCACTCCCTGTCACTGGCACATAGCAAGCCTATAAAATCTTACCTATCAGAACTGAAGAAAAAATTCAAGCCTGGAGTTCCAATATTGAAGGATTCTGCAGGCAAAATATTGAACGACACAGAAAGCATCAAAAGAACATGGAAGGAATACATAGAGTCACCGTACCAAAAAGAATTGCTCGACGTTCAACCATTTCAGGAGGTAGCATATGGTCAAGAACCAATGGTATTGAAGGAAGAAGTCCAAGCTGCACTGAAGGCAAGGCTCCAGGAATTGACGGAATACCAACTGAGATGTTTCAACAAACAGATGCAGCACTGGAGGTGCTCACTTATCTATGGCAAGAAATTTGGAAGACAGCTACTTGGCCAACCCACTGGAAGAGATGCATATTTATGCCCATTTCAAAGAAAGGTGATCCAACAGAATGTGGAAATCATCGAAGGCATCATGCTTAGTAAAATGGAGGGTAAGTGAAAGACAGGAAGACACTCAAGGGGATGGATTGACACAGTGGCTGCAATGATGGGCTCAAGCACAGCAATGATTGTGAGGACGGCGCCAGACCAGGCAGTGTTTTGTTCTGCTGTACGTAGGGTTGCTGTGAGTTGGAAATGACTTGACAACACGTAACAATAACAGCGAGGATCTTGTCAATGTCTAGAAGCCATGGAAATTGCATGGCAATTTTTAAGATTCATCCTATTTGAGAATTGTTTAATAAACTTATTTGCTTTCTCTGAATTTCTGCATGTATACTATTTCTTTATGAAACTCAAAATTTCTGCAAGTTTGTTTTAGGAGTCAAGATAATTTATAGTCGTAATGATCATGATGGTAAAATGTCACGTTTATTAATTTCTTAGTATATGCCAGGCATTTTGCTAATCACTTTACATAAATGATCTACTTTGAACCTCATAACAATATCTTAAGGTAGGTACTTAATATCCGCATTTTACAGAATAGGAAAATAAAGCCTTGGGGGTGTTAGGTAAATTGCCATCATCATACAACTAGTAAGTGGTAGAGCCAAGATTCCAATCCAGGTTTGTGTGATTCCAAAATTTATGCTCTCGACTGATTCCATTGGAAGCAGAATCCATGTCTTCAACGGGAAGCTCACAGGAGTCCTCCATTCTCTTTGCTGGCAGACATTGGCATCTGGCTGTGGGAGACCTGTGGAAGGCTACACTCTTTCTCTTCTTGATGTCCCTCACCAACACTTGTGTTCTGGTTTTGTTTCCTGAACCTAGCCAGCCAGGCACATTGGCCAGGGCTGAGCTCTGGAGGACTGAATTTGGAGTCAGAAAACCTGACCTTGCTTTCTAGTCCCACCACTTTCTAATTATGTGAACCAAGACAATGTGGTTATTCTCTCTGAATTTGTGATTATTCATCTGTAAAATGGGAATAGAAACACCAGGCTCTCCTTACTGACAGCTGTTTGTGAGGATCAAATGGGATGACATATGTGAAGGCACATGGTAGACTCCAAAGCTTTCTATAAGAGTAAGCTATTATTATTTACTTATAAGCAGACATGTGTTCAGCCAAACATTGCGTTAGTTGAGGATAATAAAATATGACTAAGACATGACAACTAAGATTTCTTTTGAAACTATCCCTAATTGTAAATCATATGTAGTGGGCAATGTTAGGTACCTATTGAATACACATATCCCTCCTTTTCTTTGTTAATCTAATGTACATTTGTCCAAGATAGCAGTGTGCCTGACCCCAGTAAATGAATCATAATTTTTCAGCCAACATGGCTCTCCTGTTCCCTGCTTTTCTGGCTTCTTTTGCAGTTAAAGGTATATGTGCATCAGTTGGAGTCCTGACAGGGAACATAATTCCACTCAGATGGGCAGCTAAAAGGATTTTAATGTCAAGTCTATTTACAGAAAGGTGAGCAGTGTTAAAGTTATGAATAAGGATTTTTGAGGCATCTAGGGAGCCTTGGTGGCACAGTGGTTAAGAGCTTGACTGCTAACCAAAAGGTCAGCAGTTCGAATCTACCAGCTGTTCCTTGGAAACCCTATGGGGTAGTTATACTCTGTCCTATAGGGTAGACTATGAGTAGGAATCGACTCAACAGCAACGAGTTTGTTTTTTTTGGTTTTGAGGCATCTAGACACCAGCCACAGCGAGAGGCTGTTACCACACCAAGGCTTGAAAAGTCAAGGGAATGGAGTGTTGTTACCAGAGTCCTATGAGAGCTCGAGCCATGGAGGAGGATGTCCAGCAGGAGCTGCAGTTATGGGGGGACATGGCACTGCTAGAACTGCAGTGCTAAAATGGGAGGTGTGTGTGGGGGGGATGACAGGGAGTTCCCTGACTTTTCTTAACTCTCACTTTCCAATCTTTGCCCATGCCTCTCATTTGCCCAACCAGATCAGAAGCCAGAAGGCAAAGGAGATCACCATGTGATTCAATTCTGATCAATAAGATGTAGGAGGAAGGCTGCAGTAGACATTTCTGGAAAATTTGACTTTCCTGGTAAAAAAGGTCAGGTATGGATGGCAGTTTCCCTTATTTCTCCTTTTCTTCTTTCCTTGAATGAGGGCTTGATGTCCGGAGGGCGGCGACTATCCCGCAATTATGAGGCAACAGGCATGAAAATGAAGGACAATGTGTTAAGGGAGTCTGAGCAGAATGATCGGAAGAGCCTGGGTCCCTGGTGGTGGTGTTGAACTAACCCCTGAAGTTACTGTCCTCAGAGTTTTTGTTTTGTAAGTATCTTTCTTTTTAAATTTATTTTTGGTGACAATATACACAACCAAACATACATCCATTCACAATTTCTACACTACACGTGTACTTCAGTGACATTGGTTACATACTTTACAGTGTGTTATCATTCTTACTGTCTCTACCCATATTGTTATATCACCATTAATTTAGATTCTCTGCCCCTTAAAGTTCTCATCTATACTTTAGATTAACTGTTGTTTGAGCTCATATAGGGAATTCTTTATAAGAGTTCAATGGTCAAGGCAAACATTCTTTATTAATTGAGATTAAACCGTTGTTTAAAGACGGTTTCATGGGATGGTTTTAGTTCAAGATTTCCAGTTTATTTCTGGAAAATAGATTCAGATGTCCCCCCAGTCTCAATGGTTCTAGTAAGTCTGGTTTCCTTTTGAATTTGAAGTTCTATTCCCGATTTTCCTCCTTTTGATCAGGATCCATCTGTTCGGTCCTTGATCAAAACATTCAGTAATGGCAGTCAGGCATCAACCATTTCTTCTGGTCTTATAGTAGAGGAAGCAATTAAACCTGCAGTCCATTTCCTTCTCTGATTCTTGGGTTTCCTTTCTCTGCTGTTCTAGGCAAATAGAGACCAGTTGTTGATCCTGTGTGGCCGCTCACAAGCTTTTAAGATCCTAGGCAGTACTCACCAAACTGGGAGGTAGACCAGAAACTCTAAAAACAACTTTAGGCCCAGTGACTGGATAGATCCAGGAAGGCATGACCCTAAACTTTTGAACCAAGAAAACTAAACCTATAAAGTGCTTAATTGTACCTAAGTAGTACGTGATTTTTGAATTTCTTTACTTTCAGCTGGCCCAATTCCTAAATGATACAGTATGTTCCTTTTATGTTGTTGTTGTTAGGTGCTGTTGAATCACCTTTGACTCATGGAACCCTTATGTGTAACTGAACCAAATATTGCCAGATCCTGTGCCATCTCCATGACTGCTGATACGTCTCAGTCCATCGTTGTGGCTATTGTGTCAATCTGTCTCCTGGAGGGTTTCCCTGGTTTTCGTTTTCGCTGACCCCCTACTTTACCAAACATGATGTTCTTTTCTAGTAAGACTGGTTTTTTCCGATGATGTGTCCAAGGTAAGCCGGCTGAAGCCTTGCCATCCTCGCTTCTAAGGAGCGTTCTGACTGAATTTCTTCTAAGACTGATTTGTTTGTTCTCATGGCAGTTGAAAGTACATAGATATTGCTTATAGATGGTCTGAGAATATACAATAAAATCTGTCTAATTAAAAAAATGCCCAAAATAGTGAGGGTAAAGTGCTCTCATGACCGAGGCAGTAAAAATACGACATCTGTATTCAAATCATCCCAAAATTCAAGAAGTGAGACTTGCATTCAATTCTGTATCTTTTTTAAATTTTTGCAACACTTCTCCTGCTTGTAATATCTGCTTAATAATTGTCTTTAATTAAACTATAAACTGCATGCTGTTAGGACCATGCCTGTTTTGCTCACTATTATTTCTGTGCCTTATATAGTACCCAATAACTAGTTGCTCAATTATATAAAAGTTGTCCAGAACCACTAAACACTGCATTTTCTCTGTTTTTCTCAGAATTTTCTGAGGTCAATGCTATAATTTTCTTAGATAAAGAGTTTTCTCAGTTATAGCTTCTCAGACAAAATTTCATCTTGTAAGAGCTGAAACTTTTAAAGACTGAGTTCTCTACCAGTCATGAAGATTTGAGGACATACTCTTGAATGTGAGTGAATGAGTAGGAGCAGCAATTGGCAGATAGTTCTGGGTCACACGATTGAATATCTAGAAGTTGTGCAGGCTATGCTGGAATGTCTTGTTTATTTAAAAGAATTATATCCCCATTCATTCATTTGGCCAATTCGTAGTTAAATACCTCATATCCAAGCCACAAAACTAAAAGCAGATTTACCTAATTAAGGAGGGAGACATAAACTGGAACACTAGTTGCATTTTACTGGGAAAGGATGTGGGTGGGGCACCTGCTTTATTTTGCGAACACTATATTTTTAGATATGAGGTGCTGATATTAATAGTCAAAAAAAAAAAAAAAAAGCCCAAAACAAACAAACACCTAGAGAAACTGGAATGTTGCTCTAAGCATGGGGGAAAACACAAAAATAACTGCTTTTTAATGACTCACCTTACTGTTGTTATGAAATCAACATAATGTAAATGCTAAACTTTATGTTCTGCCACATGGGTTCCATTACATACTGAGTTAAAAATGATTTTGCTAGTATTTATTGTATTATCTTGTTGAACACTGGAATATATAATTAGATGCATGTTAATCACTTTTAAATAGATAATTTGAAAAAAAAAAAAAAAAAAAACAAGTCTCCAGTGTAGGCCATGATTTGATTTGACCTGATTGGTGAAAATTTCATCTACGCGTTTTATCTCAGATTGATTTAGGATGTCAGCAGAGTTTTGAGGTAGTCAGAATATTTTTAACATTTTGGTAATTTGATTATGATAACAGTTCTCTGTCATCTGGTCACAAGAAGACAGTGTCCCTTTTTAAATCTTATTTTAACCAAGCTATTTACAAAGAGAAACACACATTTATAATAATTTAGTAAATAAAAAACCTCTGAATTGCTAGGAAAAGGATTAGAGTGTGTAAAATTGAAGGGACCTGATTTGACTGGCAAACTGCTATGAAACGTTTTCATGCTTTGCGTGTTTGTTTTCCAGACATTTCAAATTAGCACATTTAAAAATTGAGAATCTTTGTTGAGACACTTCAAATCATGAAGGCAGAATAGGAGAAGCCTATTTTTCCCGATAGTCTGCGTCTGCTTATATTTTTAGTTTCCCAGCACCTGGGGTGAGGAAAAATACAAGTTTGCAGCAGAACAATAGCCATGATATTCATTATCTTGGGACTAAAAAGAAAAAAGAAAAGAAGTAGCTGTGGAATAAAGAAAAGGTCTGTAAATTCCCAGGTGTCAGTCTTCAGGAAAATATTTCTTAAATTTTCTGGGCTCCCCATCTGAATACAAAAGGATATTAGTTCAGTGTTCAAAATTGTCAATGGTGGAGAAACAAGGCTCATTGGTTTCGTGGGGTGTTTTATTCTGTAGTCATTCAGAGTGTCAAGGTACTGGTTTGTTTTTGACGTATACCTAATGAAGGAGAATTTAAAATCAATAACTTTATGCAGCCTGCGGTTACCTGGGATACATTCCCAGTACATGCATAAAAGACAAGCACTGTGTTTGTGTGTGAAGGAGGGGGAGGGGTGGGAAGAGGTTGTGAGTTGAACAGTTCTAATTTTTATAGCATTTCTTTATGATTTTAATTGCTTTTATAGCATTTTTCAACTCCCAGTTGGATCCGCTTAAGTTTAATTTGCATTAGAATTGCAGAATTCAAAAGTGGGAACCAGATCCCTATGGATCATAAAAATTAGATGCTGTTTTTAGGTGCTGTGGAGTACATTCCGACTCACAGCAACACTATGTACAACAGAAAGAAACAACACCCAGCTCTGTGCCATCCTCACAATTGTTGCTATGTTTGAGCCCATTGTTGCAGCCACTGTGTCAATTCATCTCCTTGAAGGTCTTCCTCTTTTTTGCTGACCCTCTACTTTACCGGGTATGATGTCCTTCTCCAGGGACTGGTCACTCCTGATAACACGCCCTAAGTATGTAAGACAAAGTCTCACTATCCTCCCTTCTAAGGAGCATTCTGACTGTACTTCTTCCACGACAGATTTGTTCATTCTTTTGGCAGTCCATGGTATATTCAACCCAACACCATAATTCAAAGGCATCAATTCTTCGGTCTTCCTTATTCATTATCCAGCTTTTTCATGCGTATGAGATGATTGAAAATACCATAGCTTAGGTCAGGCAGGCACTTCTTAGTCCTCAAAGTGACATCTTTGCTTTTCAACATTTTAAAGAGGTGTTTTGCAGCAGATTTGCCCAATGCAACATGTCGTTTGATTTCTTGACTGCTGCTTCCATGGGTGTTGATTGTGGATCCAAGTAAAGTGAAATCCTTGACAACGTCAATCTTTTCTAGGTTTATCATGATGTTACTTATTGGTCCAGTTGTGAGGATTTTTGTTTTCTCTATGTTGAGGTGTAATCCGTACT